CCCCGCCCCTTCCTCGCCTTTCGCGTCCCGGCTTGGAGCGGACCTTACGAGCAGAACCTCCGCTAGGCCAGGCCGCCTTCCGACCCCGCCCCCGAAACCGATTTGGGAATATCTCGACTCTGAATAGGCAATTATTACGGCATCATTTTAATGTCTCTAAGGAAAGAGCTGCGGTGGCTCAAGTGGTTAAGACGCTGAACTGCAGGCTGTGGAAGGTCCGTAGTTCAGCAGTTCGGGTGCCGCATGACGGAGTGAGCTCCCGTCTCTAGTTCCCGCTCCTGCCAACCTAGCAGTTCGAAAGCAAGAAATTGCAAGTAGATAAATAGGTACCGCTTTGGTGGGAAGGTAACAGCGTTACATGCACATTGATGTTTAGTCATGCCGGCCACATGACCACGGAAACGTCTTCAGACAGCGCTGGCTCTTCGGCTTTGAAACGGGGATGAGCACCGCAACCCTAGAGTCGGACTCGACTGGCTTTCGAGCAAGGGAACCTTTACCTTTAAGGAAAGAACCAGAGTCCAGGAACACCTTAAGGACTATCAACATTTGTGGCCAGGGAGGAGCTTTCCTGAGTCACGGCTTGATTCTGTTTTACTAGAACAAAGTCTGAGTCCAGTGGAACTCTTAAAACCAACACAGTTTAATTCTGGGTCAAAACTTTCATGTGCATGGACACTTCTTCAGACGCACAAAAGTTGATTTTTGTTCTTGTTCCGTCGCACAGTCGAGTCCGACTCTCCGCGACCCCATGGACCAGATCACACCAGGCCTTCCGGTCTTCTGCCGTCCTCTGAAGTTTGCTCAATTTCATGTTCATTGAATCTATGACACTGTCTAACCATCGCATCCTTTGCTGTCCCGTCTTCTTTGACCTTCAATCTTTCCCAGCATCAGGGTCCTCTCCAGTGAGTGCTCCCTTCTCACTTGGGGGCCAAAGTATTTGAGCTTCAGCTTCATTATCTGGCCTTCAAGGGAACAGTCAGGGTTAATTTCTTTTAAGATTGACTGATTTGATCTTCTTGCAGTCCAAGGGACTCTCAAGAGTCTTCTCCAGCACCATAGTTCAAAAGAATCTATTCTTCGGCACTCGGCCTTCCTTATAGTCCAACTCTCGCAGCCATACATGACTACTGGGAATACCATTGCTTTGACCATGCGGACTTTTGTTGGCAGGGTGATATCTCTACTTTTTATCATGCTGTTTAGGTTCGCCATCACTTTCCTCCCAAGGAGCAGGCATCTTTTAATTTCATGGCTGCTGTCACAGTCTGCGGTGATCTGGGATCCCAGGAACGTGAAGTCACTACTTCCACAACTTCCCCTTCTATTTGCCAAGGAGTGATGGGGCCGAATGCCAGGATCTTAGTTTTTTTGATGTTGAGCTTCAAGCCCACTTTTGCGCTCTCCTCTTTCACTCTGAGCAAGAGGCTCTTTACCCAGCTGATACCCAGAATTAAACTGTGTTGGCCTTAAAGGTGCCGTTGGACTCAAACTTTGTTCTGTGGCTTCAGACCAACACTGCTACCCACCTGTACCTGGAGCGATAGGCAGCCCTCCTGAAAGGTGAAATAAGTCTACATCCTTTGTCAAGAGTTTAGAGAGTGGGGCGGGGGTTAGTGTACACCATTCCAATCCAGTTCTTGGCCTTCAGCCTCCACCCCCTTAAGCCCTATATTTCATTCATATTGAATCAGCTCTGCTGCTGTTTTGTACAGTCTTGGTGAAATAAACCCCTCCTGGTATACATCTCAAGACCCAGCATCAGTGCCACCATTTATTTATTTGGCAATCTTTTATGCACATTTCTTCTTCAAATTAAGTGAAAGTCACGGGGGGAACCCCCAAAGCATTGATGTACCCTTAAAATTGTCAAGCAGTTCCCCCCCCATTTGTTCACCTAGTAGCAAATTCATCCATGCTGACTACATAAATATTTCCTAATTAAGCTTTCTAAATCACAGTCAGTGATGTATCCCGTTACATACACAAAGTTCAAGATAAATAATTGGAAGAAAGTCTCTTGCTGATGGCGAAAATGCCCATTAATACAAGATGCCAGTAGAAAGCAGTCTGGCCTTCAGAATATTTGTTATTCTTCAAACGGCCAACACAGCAGGCTGCAACTGCTAAGACCAGACGGGAAAAAACAAAAGCTAGTAAGAAACTCTTGTGTTTCTAAGTGCATGGCCAAATTAGGCTACAAATGACTTTCAGATACGAACACCACATCCAAAATGGTATGACATTAAAATCCATTGCAATTATTTAAGAAGCTTTGGCACTGTTAGTGTTGGGACTGTAATTTCTTTAAAAATTGGCACATAGTTTGGGTTCAGCTGGCCTGGACCTTTGTCCAGAGTTTCAATGATGGTCTGCTTCATCTCTCTGCTGGCGTCTCCTCTCATTGTCAGCAAGGCTGCGATATGGTCATCCCTGCCAATCAAAGAGATAACAGTGTTGGTACCAGATTGGTTTGTGGAATAAAACAATTGGTAGCTTGAAACTGACATCCCTGCATCTATTCTGTAGGTTGTACCCTACCCCTGTCACATTAAACATGTCAGTACTAAAAGGTCTGCAGTCTTCGGCACACTGTGAAACTGGGCTTGTGGGCTCTTCTCTACTACCTTTTTGCTTTGAGAGCCCTGCCCACAACCAACTAAGATAATACTGGACAGTATATCCATCAAACCGTCGAATTGGCCTGCAGTTACTCTAAGTCAGCTGAACTCATCAGGTTCTTTGGTCTCCATCTCGGTGCTGTTTCTGCAGTTCTGTATGCAAATACATTCATCCAGACTAGCTGCCTAATTTACATACAGCACCGTCAGCTTCTTTCCATCTGTTCCCATCGCATGCAACACCCTCTGTCATCTCTCCCGAAGGGTTGGAGATATAATTTTTAAATATTAGAGGTACATACTTCTGGAACATCCCTGGAATCTCACCCATTTTCAAAGCAATTGGGTGATGTGGGGAAGGAGACTGTATTATTTTAATGGAGTCAAGAATGGGTTCCAGCCATACCCGTGTAAATCTTTTATTCCCCCTCCCCCAACAAATCCTTTTCCTTTTTGGTAGATCTTTATATGCTTCCATAATTGGGTGCTAGAAGACTGTGAAAATTCTCTGCGAGAGACAAGAGGAGAGAAATGGGTTTTGCTTCATGCCTAGGACACAACAGTCATATTTGCTTTTTGAAAGCTGTTTTTCTTTCAGACCAATAGCTTGAAGGGGACCCTAAGTGATTGTGCCTTCTTCGATAAGATACAGGATTGTTGTACAAACTATTTTTTAATCGTGCAGACTTGAAGCAACCTGCTCTTGGTTTTAGATGTTAACATGCATGAAGAATATGTGATGTAGAAGCAGATTTATGTGTGAAGAAACTGGGCTTAGAGCAGAAATCTGCATAAGGTTCTCTTCAAATCTAGGACTGTGGAATGAATTACATGTTATTTCAGCAAACTCTGTTCCCAAATCCACAAGGCAAAAAATAGAGGGGCAGGAGAGACCTGCAAGAGAGCGCTGCCTCCCCTGCCCTGTGATTCATCTACAGGGATTTCCTCAGTTGCCCCAAGGCAACTTTCAGGCTTTGAAGCCTAGCTCTGCAAACAAGCAGCTTGGACGTGGAGAGCCACTGGTGCAGAATATGCTCCCCCCCAAAAAAAACATTTCTTCAAGGAGGCGCAGAAACCCCACTCCCACCAGCTGATTCTTACTTGTAAATCTCCCCATAGTGATACAAAGGAAACAAAGACATGTAGTCCTATCCCCAAATACTTCATTTTGGGAAACCCTATTCCAAGGACCAGACAGACAACAGCACTATCAAATATGTAATATCCATAACCAGGAGGATTCAGATATTGGGCTGGGGGAGTTGTGCTTTACACTGTGTAATCTCTTGCACGTAAAAACTGAAGTTAACGGAGAAAAAGTAATGGCATAAAACTACACATCTACATAGTCTTAAGAAAACAGGCAACTTGCCCCCGGGGGGGGGGGGGGAATCCTCTTACCTGATATCTGGGTGTTTGCTAACCAAAGTTGAGACCTCTAAGTACAGAAGCGAAGGATCAGTCAACTTGAAGACCTCTGCGATGCCTTCAATCACGCTACAAAGTCCTTCCGTGTCCTCCCCAGAGCCCTATTAATTAAACATTATCAAGTTGTCATCCTTTTAAGGCATCTGATCTCAACATTATGTTTAATATGCAACTGATCGCAAGGCTTTATTTTAAAAATGCAAGGTCAACTTGTAAGGCATAGAGAAAAGCACAAGGTGGCTGAAATCCCTGTAGCACTCCTACGCAAACAGAAGTTGTGTAGGACTAACCAAATCATGATAATAATGATTTATAATAATTATAAGAAACCCAAGGTTTGGGTTATCAATAGTTCTTAGTTTTTAATGGTGAGGATTAACTTCAGACTCTCCTTATGGGTAAAGAATAGATCAGTTTTATTTATTTATTTATTTATTTATAATTTCGATTTGTATCCCGCCTAGCCACAGGACTGGCTTCTGAATATCTAACTACTGACTGCATCCTGCTAGGTCTTTCCATCTGAGTTGCTTCTGAATTCCTGGAGGCGTATCAACAGATCCCAGCAAACTGCCCCATATACCAGGTTTCTGCAAGTCTCTGCAGCATCCATGGCCACGTTATTTTTACAAGGGGGGAAAACCTCCAGGGCGAAAAATATTTCAGAGCA